CCTTACCGAGAATTGAAGAAATTTTAGCGAATTTGAAGGAAAGTATATATTTTTCAAAAGTTGATTTTTCCAACGCGTACTTGCAATTGCGGGTAAAAGCAGAAGTAAGAAAGTTGTTAACTATTACTACTCCCAAGGGGTTATTTGCGTTTTGTAGGTTACCTTTTGGATTAAGTGTATCTGCTCCGATATTTCAGAGGACTATGGTTGCAGTTTTTCAAGGGATGGAAGGCGTATAATTATATGGATGACGTATTGGTAATGGGGCAAACTCCGGAACAGCATGAGCAAAGATTGAAGGAGGTGTTCTGAAGAATTAAAGAGAAGGGTTTGTGGGCCAGTGCCGAAAAAAGCGTTTTAGGAGTGACGGAAGTCGTATATTTGGGACATAAAATAACGGGAAAAGAGGTTAGACCGTTGGATAAAAATATGACGGGAATCGAGAATATGTTGAGACCGCATAATAAAATTGAGGTTCAGGCTTTTTTGGGAATGGTAAATTACTACCACCGATTCGTAGAGGGATTCGCTCAAATAGCTGCGCCATTATATACCTTGCTAAAGAAGGGTGAAAAATTTGATTGGAAGGAAGAACAAGAGAATGCATTTGCAGAAATGAAAGCTAGAATTGGAAGGGAGCCCATTCTTATGTGTTTTAACAAAGAGTTGGAGGTGGTGTTGGCGGTAGATGCATCGATTAAAGGAGTAGGGGGCGCGTTACTGCATAATATAGATGGGATGGAAAAACCGGTTTTGTTTTTCTCGAGAATATTCAGAGCCGCGGAAACAAGGTATTCTGTGATTGAAAAGGAGGCATTGGCTGTTATATTTGGACTGACGAAATGCCGTGAGTATTTGATTGGGCGTCAATTCGTGATATATACAGACTACAAGCCGCTAGTACACCTGTTCAAAAAGGATAAAAAAGAACTGATGCTGTCGCCCCGGTTACAGAGATGGCTTTTACTTGTGGGAAGTTTTGATGTACAATTGAAATATAGACGGGGAAAGGAAAACTGTTTACCAGATATTCTTTCTAGGTGTGGAGCTGGAGAAGAAGGATATGAAATGGCTCAAGAGGATATAGAGGAGGGAAAGGAGCAAGGACTAATTCGAACAATGGTCAAAATAGCCAAGGGAGGACCGATAACGTGGGCAGAACTTAAAAGGGCAACTCTAAAGGATCGTGAATTGACTCGAATTAAGGCGTGTATAAAGGGGCGAAAACCTTGGAGCGACGGAGATAAAGTTTTTAAATACATCGAAAAGGAATTAGCTATAGTGGATGATTGTGTGGTACGGGGAAGTCGGGGTATAGTACCATTTAAATTGAGAGATTCGGTCTTGGCAATGATTCATGCAGGGCATCAGGGAGTTGAGAAAATGAAACAATGGGGCCGAGAATATGTATGGTGGCCAGATAATGAACAAAGAGATTGAGGACATAAGCCGAAGCTGTGAAATGTGTAACCTGTGGGCGAGTATGCCTCACAGAGACAAGAAAAGTGTATGGCCCAAGACTACACAGCCGTATCCACATCGACTTCTTTGACTTCGAGGGGCAAATATATTTAATTGTGGTAGATGCATACTCCAAATGGGTAGAGTACGAGGCAGTAAGGGGGCTAACTACGCAAATTGTAATAAAGACCTTAAAGAATTTATGGGCTCGTTTTGGAGTAGCAAGGACAATCGTGTCCGACGGCGGTCCCACTTTTGTGAGTAGACAATTTGAAAAATTTTGCACGGAAATGGGGGTAAAACATGTCTTAGCACCTCCGTATCATCCAAGCTCAAACGGACAAGCGGAAAGAATGGTAGCTCTGGTTAAAAGTTGGTTAAGAAATCGAAATATGGCGGGGGGGGAACTATGGATGGCCGTAGCCTATTATAATAATAGTCGAAAAGGGGAGGAGTTGTTGCCGGCGGAAAAATTTTTGGGCCGTAGAACTCGCATTCAATTAGATTTGTTGAAACAAGAGATACCCCCAGAGATGGATTCGGGGGATAACGTGTGTAAATTCGGGGTGGGACAAACGGTTTGGGCAAGAATTTTTGGGGGTAACCAGAAATGGGAATCCGGTGTGGTCATAGAAAACGTGGGGCACAAATTGCATAGGATACGGTTCTCAGATGGGAGAGAAGGCATGAGGCACAGAGATCAGTTAAAGAGAGGAATGGACCCCGGAAGGCTTAGGTCGGATCAAAGGACTTAGGTTGGGGAGGTGGGAATAGGGGAAGTCAGCGTGTGTGAAGATAAAGAGGAGTATATAGAAAAGGAAAGGTAATAAAAATGGGCAAGGTGTTACCGGTAATTTTGTTGTCTATATCAAATTACAAATGTATCATTTGCTATTCTTATACTTCCCTAGTATTATATCAAATTACAAATGTATCATTTGCTATTCTTAGATTCCCATAGTATCCCAACGATTTATTTTCAATTTGTACTTTATATTAACTGTATTTGACTGTATGCCATTTCCCAATTAAATCGCGTATGATGAAAATAAAAGAAAAAATATATATAATGATGTAAAAATATTTTTTGGTAACAAATGTAATTAATTTTTGTCTTGTGATAAGTAAAATGTCAAAAGAGTTGGAACGATATGTTGTTGGGAAGCATATTATTGGAAAGGAAATTTGGAGATGGGAAAAGGGCACAGTCCCAAATTATTTGATGAAAAGATAATTAATTACTAGGCGTGCAAAGCATAGGCTTAGGAGGCAGTGGGCCAAAAGAAAAGAAATAGGGGAGGGAGAAAATTTTTTTAGAAGAAATTTTTTTTTTGAAAAAAAAAAAATTTATTATAATTTTTTTGTGTGTAAATTAAATAAAAGTAGTGATTACTTTGACTTGGGGAATTCAGTAAGGAGTATGAATTTTGGAAAAGTATATAATATAGAATATGTTTAGGTGAATAATCAAATGAATCCTAATCACGCTCTGAGTTTGTCCAGAAGCTCGATTTACGGGAACTATGAAATAGTATTCAGGATGTGATCCCAAGGGACAGGGCGAGGGAGTAGGGGGAATGGATGGAGAAGCGGGCGCAGTACAATGAGACGAGTGAGGGACGATAGACGGTGCTATTGGTGTCAAGAGCGAGGGCATATTCAATATAGCTGCCCCTGGAATTGGCAGAGGACGGGGGGAAGTAGAGAATGGCGGACGGTGCACCCAACGGTAGAGGAAGTGCCTACGCGGCAAATAGCAGTCGTTTTGGGGCAAGCACGGAGCAGGAGCAAGGAACGAGCGAGGAATACGGACAGGGCGCCGAAATCCGGGAAACGAGCGACGAATCTAGACCAGTCGCCGAAGTCCGGGGAATAAGGAGATCAGAAGGAGGGAAGTGGATCGAGCCGGCAGCCAGCGAGGAACCAAGGATATGGCCGATGATTGATTTTACGGATGAGAGTGAGGGACTGAATGGTATTACGGGGGGAGATAGGACCGCGGAATCAGAACAGGTAGGAGATAGTACAGGAGTAGAAGTAACTGAAGAATGGCAAGACCTGGTGGCGGTGTTGGATGATGTAGAGGAGCTGGGAGAATGGCTGGATATCGTGGTGGAGGAGTTGGAGTAGGGTAGTCTCTGGAAGGAGTAGTTGAGGATCGAGTCTGTTGAAAGGGGGCGTGTCGAGGAACAATATCGAGGAACATTATGAAAGAAATAACGAGGAACATTATTGAGGAACATTATGAAAGTTTTATTATTTATTATTATTATTATTGTTTTTTTTATCGAAAAGGAAAGAATTATTATGATTATGTTTTTTTTATCGAAAAGGAAAAAAATTATTTATTATTATTTTTGTTTTGTGATGAATAACGATGATGGGGTAGAAAGTGAATATATAATGGAAGCAAAAGAAATAAAATAATGATGATATGTTTTATTTTGTAAAATTTAATTGATGTATGTTGCGTAAAAAAAAATAAAAGGAAATAAAAACCTACCGTAAGTAAAAATAGAAAAAAACAAAATATATTTATATATATATAAAACAAAAAAGGATAATAGTAAAAAACCAATTCAATATAGGAGAATTAAGACGATTTAAATAATATATATAAGATATATACAAAGTTTGAAATAGATAGAACCCACGTCAAAATTAAGCAACAAGTGGCTGTTACAAAGGAGGCCATTACCCATTGACATAACAAAATTAAAGTAACGAGATTTAGTAAAATTTAGCAAGAATTTAGGCTACTTAGTTTACTTAATCTATTTAAATTACCTTTTTATTATTTCTTATCAATGGTTTTACTTTTTATTTAAATATTTCACTAGTAGAGAATATACTTCAAACGGATATTTTAATTTTATGGAAAAGACAAGAAAAATTTTTATCAAAGCTGATTAGCTAGAAAAATATTGCTATTAGATTAATCAGTGCTTCTTCTGATAGAGGAAGCATTGCCAGAAGGCTTTTAGTATCATTAAATATTAATTTTTTCTTATTACATATAGATCAATTTCTTATCCAAATTGAATATTTTTTTATTCTTAATATAACCTAAATTATAAAACATTTTTGTAGGGATTTATCGCTGAAACTAAATCATTTTTTTTAATTAGATGCTTAACAAAATTGAAAGAGTGAGCTTATTTAAATTTTATATGAGTGGAGTGGGTTATAATTTTAGACTGATGGGCGAGTGGGTAAAGAATTTTAGACTAGGTGGATTAAATTTTTTTAAAAATATTGGATGGGTGGGCTTGTACACCCATTGAAGACCTTTAGTCCATAAAGCTTTTTTTGTCATTGTTTATTAGTTTGCACTATGTACAAGAATTTCAAATATAATTACAGCAATCAAGACCTCTTTAAAAGGTCAAGAAGGGGAATCAAAATACCTTTTTCAAAAAATCCAAGAGCTCCAAACTGCGTAAAATAGGCAGGAAAAAACAAATGTATTTAAATTTAAGTATTTTCTTAAAAAAATATAATTAATAGTAAAAAAAATATTTCAAATGGCAATTTCTAACGTGTTAGAATGGTTTGGAAAGCATTTTCAACGTTGGTAGAATCTAGAGCCGACGTCTCGATAAATGATAGACCATTTTTTTCTACAGAAAATGTATACAAATGTAGTAGTTAATATATTAAGAGTTAATTAGGATTTCTTATCATTAATTATTTATTAATTAATTACACTACACAAATAATATATTTAATAGATTAATTCAAAATTTATATTCAGGTAAAAGAAATTGCAATCGTAACAAAATTTAAAACATTATTTTTTGGTAAAAAGCATTTTATTCGCTAAATTATGCTTAAATATAAGCGAGTGGCGTATACTTACGATTATAGAAACATTAAAATTATTATAACATTATCATTATCTAGATAACCTTATTATATATAAAAGAAATGATACCATTACCAGCAAATAATTTGGCTTCATCTAAGGGAACGGATCTCAGGTGTTTCAAGTCGCTTTTGTTGCCAACTAGCATTATAACAATATTGTTGTCTAAAATTCCATTTTTTAAAAAATATTTGGTTATAAAGAGAGGCATATTTGAAAATTATTCAAGGCGCAATTTATTTCAAAATATATTTAAAGTTCATATGTGTGTGTCTTGGATGTTGTTAGCAAGAGGACATTTATTTGTAGAACAAGGGTAAAATGGGTACATAATAATGAACGTAAAAAATAATGGTTTAGATATTGGCAATGGTTCAACCCTGCGAAAAGTTTTGCTATTTGAATGACATGCTAAAGGCAGATGGAGGTGTAGATTATGCTGTTGTTGGCAAGAGTCAGACAAGCATGGAAGAATTTGAGACGTCTATTCTAACAAATAAAAACGTCTCTCTGAAGTTATTTACATAAGCGGCGTGAGGAGTTGTTAGGTTATGACTGTAAAACATGAGCAATGGAAGTAATTCACGAAGCTTAAATGGGGTATCTCTGAGAGAGATAAACTAGTGTTGTATTATGCAAATTTAGTTTAAAAAATAGTTGTACTTATATTTGTTATATGCAAAGATAAAAATTCATCATTTAAATTAATGTTATTCCATAAAATCTAAAAATGTAAAATTTATCTTTGCATATAACAAATATAAGTACAACTATTTTTTAAACTAAATTTGCATAATACAACATCTCCCCCCTTTAATTCTCCCTTAACCCCATCGTGTTCGCCGATTCTACCATGTTCCTCCCTGGTGTACTCGAATTACTATTTGTGGTCAACTCCATACTTGGGCAAAACCGTAGTTTGTGTTCACCCCCGCACGCCCAGCAATCCAATCTCCTTCTTGTGCCATACGGTGCTGTTCTGCGACCACATCTCGTTGGCGCTTCTTGTAGCCAATCCCCGTATCTTTGTCTCGCCTCGTTCCTTGCTGCTTCTACCCATCTGTTCGATTCCTCCGAACCATCTACGTCTCTTATTTCTATCCTTATTATTTTGTTACCAACTCTAACATACGAGGCCATCTAAATAAACTACTTTATAAACATATATCTATATTCTTCGAACTCCTATTTCTCTATACTACATTTTAATTTCTTCTCTAACTCTTTATAAAATATAAATCTCATAATTAAGTCTATCATCCCTTTTATTTCCTACAAATTATGATTCTCCTACTATGTCTATCATCAATTTATTTCTTTCTAATTATGAATCTCTTAATTATGAGATTTATATTTTATAAAGAGTTAGAGAAGAAATTTAAATGTAGTATAGAGAAATAGGAGTTCGAAGAATATATATATATGTTTATAAAGTAGTTTATTTAGATGGCCTCGTATGTTAGAGTTGGTAACAAAATAATAAGGATAGAAATAAGAGACGTAGATGGTTCGGAGGAATCAAACAGATGGGTAGAAGCAGCAAGGAACGAGGCGAGACAAAGATACGGGGATTGGCTACAAGAAGCGCCAACGAGATGTGGTCGCAGAACAGCACCGTATGGCACAAGAAGGAGATTGGATTGCTGGGCGTGCGGGGGTGAACACAAACTACGGTTTTGCCCAAGTATGGAGTTGACCACAAATAGTAATTCGAGTACACCAGGGAGGAACATGGTAGAATCGGCGAACACGATGGGGTTAAGGGAGAATTAAAGGGGGGAGATGTTGTATTATGCAAATTTAGTTTAAAAAATAGTTGTACTTATATTTGTTATATGCAAAGATAAATTTTACATTTTTAGATTTTATGGAATAACATTAATTTAAATGATGAATTTTTATTTTTATATGTTTATTTCTTCGAAAAATTATTATGTTTAATATTCAAATGATTATAAAAAAAATGAATATATATATTGTTCAATTATTTCAATAAAAAACCAGTTGGAATTTCATAGAAAAGAGAAATTGTTTTGTGTTCATTATAGAATCCTAATTTATTGATAGAAAGAAATATTTCAGAGTCTTCTACCAAACAAAAAAGCTAATACAGTTATTTAATAAAGATAAATTAATTAAAAGAGTTTATATCATATTATTTTAGGTTCGTTGAATATTAAGATTAATCCTTTGTTTATTTTATATAGATTTTATTTATCTTGATTCCTGTTACGCTCTCCCAAATAACATTAAGCCCCTGAGCTAGTTCGGATTTGTAACAACTAGCAAGGCAAACAAGGATGGGAATAGAAGTGATTGGAGTAGTAATGGGAAGAAATAAACTAAGCTGGGTGGAACGTAAGACAGGAGGATTAAGACCTCTAGGAAGGTCTAAGACGTGGATAAATGTGATAGCTGCCGATATGAGAAAAATTAATCTTAAAAATATTAATGCTATGGTCCCTCAAAAATAGAGAAGAAAAAACAGAGGGGTAACTGACTCACCTGGGTTAATCTAGAAATCGCCATTAAACGAAGAGGCAAAAAAAATTCAAAATTTTTAGTTAAATATTATTAAAACACTATGCCTTCGCCCATATCTGTGAAATCCTTTCTATTTTAATCAAAATATAAAAAAATTTAAGCATAATGCTATTTACCAACCGAGTATGCTTTCAAACGAACATAGCTTCTAACCTGAGATTAATAAATATGCAGTATGCGTTTTTTTTATAAGGATCGATGCTAAGTAGTAGTGGCATATCTTCGTATACGGGCATCGTCTCAAACAAAGAGTAAAATCAGTTCACTTTTGATGGGGAACCTAGATGGCATTCTATCTTCGTCAATCTATCACACTTACCAAATGTCAAAGCAATTGACTAGAGGAGTAAGTATTAAACTTAAAATAAATAATGTGATATGTATATACAAATGACAAACCTGCGTGATCTCTGAGTTCCTTGAGCCACCTTTCAACATTCTCGTAGGTTAAATGTTTAGCGATATCATAAACGAGTAACGCTCCCACGGCGCCCCTATAATATCTGTACCAAGGCGTATGATTGATTTAAAAAAACATTTAGTTAATATAAGTAGTGAAGGTCGAGTCAATCCTATCGATTGCCAGTGACCTTTTTATTTAAGATCACAGTTGTGTGTCTCTGTCTAATGTCAGATTAAATTTAAAAAAATACATATCTAATTATTAATTGATTATAATAATAGGTTAAAGTAATGCTATAATCAGAGGCCTATTAATAAAGATAAAGACCCGAGACCGACGTTTCTAAGACTGCGCTACATTTCAAATGGTTCGTTTTATAGCCCTTAAAAAAAATTAACCATTTTTCGTTATTGTTTTGTTTGTATTTTCGAATATTATTTTTAAATTACCATATTTTTTAAAAAAAATTCCATTACAAATTTACTAGATAAACCATAATGCAAAACACAAACTCTAAATTTGGAAGCATTAATAGGATGACCTTAGATCAAGTATTAACTCTTTCACATCCCAGACAGAGCATATAGAAAATAAAGCACTTTTTGAAAAAAAATCATTAGCCCTTTTTTGAAAAGTTTGGCTCATTTGCCAATGGTTTTTGGAAGAATTATAGCCCATCCATTGTTTCTGATTATTTAACCAAGCTGCCCTCCCATGGCTTTTCAAAGCCAATTTCAATTTTTTAGCCTATCCATTCATGATTCTAAAAAAATTTTTACAGCAGCTTGCCACCATGGTTGAAAAAATCACCGATTTGCCTAACTGTCATCCTTAAAAATTCAGCCAAAAGAATAAATTTTTGATGAGTTTTTGGGCATTTTATTCAATATAATATCGTTTTATAATTTGGATATATATATATATTTAGAAAAATGGAGTAACCGATATTTAAATTGATTTTAATTACCACCTATCTTTGAATCAAAGTCATAAAAAATTTAATATATTCTTCAAAAAGAGCCAACTAACTTTCAAGAATCATACCGAGCCGTCAGTTATAGAAATACTCTTTCTTACCTATTTAATGAGTGCATTCATAAAAAATTCTTCCATTATAATATATTTAATTATCAGAATGTGATTTTAACAATTTTATTTAAATTTTTTTTTTTTAAATTTTAATATTTTAAAAATCAGTTTTAATTCCAACACTACAAAATAGGATGAAAACTAAGTAAAATTTATTATAAAAGTTAATAATATTTTAATACAAAATTATATGCTCTTCAAGAAGTATCCTTATAACATGGATGTTGACAATGGAGGGAAAGAAATCTTCATGTTAATGTCTCTATAAATAAAATACTTAAAGGTAAATTATTTCACCATTCTCATAATGGTAAAGTAATATTCAATTTTAATAGAAGTGGTCTACATTAAGTGGACCTAAAGATCTCGAATAAAATTTTTAGGATAAAACATACTTAATAGTGTCCCCTCTAGCAAAATCCTGGCCACACTTATAGAGAAAAACCTCTAAATACATTGTAAATATAAATAATATGCTTTAAAAATTATGGCGCTAATTATGATGAGATATATTAAAGTTATTTTATATAAAAATATTCCATATATATTATTATATTTATGCTAAAATATAGAGCTATTTTGAGACCTATCTGATTTATTACATACAAAATTTATTTAGAGAGCGGTCTAATCTGCAAGGCTCGTTTAAAAGTCCATCCCAAGTTACGTGCCGTGAAATTTTGAAATAAAAAATATCAGCAATGGTTAGGCTAAACAATTACAAATAAAATATCAGAGCGTGTCATCTTTGATTCTGCTTAAAATTTTTTAAGCCACCCCGGGCATTTATAACTCGATATATTTTTTTGAATTTAAAGTTAATATTTTATTTAAAACTAATTAAAAATAAATTATAATATGCTTTCTTTCTATAAGAGCTCTCTCGGTATACTAAATCATTGTTAAATAAATAATATTGATAATTCATAGGTCAGAATATATGTGAATATTTTATAAGATTCGTGAAATTAATTGATATAAAAATGTAATTTTTTCGATATACACTTACTCTTACTCGTTCTAAATGATAATGATATTTAAAATTTAAAAAAATCTGGTTTTGTTTAAATTTTTAATGTTTCGCCAGAAAGAATTTATTTGGTTATAATATTGCTCAAATAATAAATGTGTAGGTTCATATTCGAAAATTAAATTATAAAACATTTTAAAGCAATTTATTATAAAAAAAAGTTTGTAGTCAACTTAGAGTCCTAACCAAAAGTGAACCATAAAATTAAAATGTACCAAATCTTGAGAACTGAACCTATTTTAAATTTTTTAAAAAGTCAACTGAACCTTTATAAACCGGTTAAAATTATGTTTTTATAGGATAAATATTTTTAAAAAAATTGTAATCGTAACCTCTTTAGCATATTTATCTCTAGGCATTATTTTTTTTTAAAAAAATGTAATCTACAATATTATATAACCAATGATTTATATTTATAAAAATAAGAAATATAGCAATCGTTTAAAAAAAATGAAACATGTAACCCAATTCTTCTCTCTAAAAAAACGATTGAAACAAACTTTTTACAAAGTTTAGTACAGTTAATTTTTTCCATAAAATAATGGGAAACAAATCTAAAATATGGGACATTCTGTGCATGCCTATATGATGATCCCCAAAATCTTATATAAACTTGCAAGGTATAATTCACTTTTATTGGTTCAAAAATAATTATCCCGACGAAAGAATAAAATTAGAGCAACTGAAAAACTATATTAGCAACATTGGCTATGTGTGTCCCATCTACAAAGATTTCCTTATAAAGATCATTTTAAGAATTGAAATATATTCAATCCACCACAAAGAACAAAATTAAAAGAATGTAGATGATATTTTACATAAGAATGTTCGTATAAATATATAACAATAAAAATTGACAAAAAATTCTGGGTTAACTTTAAATTGTATTTAACTCTTCTATATTAATTATAATTAAAATTATTTATAGTAATATATGAGTTTTATATAAAAATAATAATTACTGAATCTTAATTAAAGGTCTAAAAACTACTTGAATCTTTTTAAAATTTAATTCCTTACTCAGAACCAAACCTAAACCTTTATAATTTTTTATTCCTGGAACCGAATACATTCAAAAGGTTCGATGTCTAAATAAAACTATACTTAACATTTTTTAAAAATATGATAAAAATTTTAGCTTTTAAATGGTAGTCATTTTCAATTAAAATAATCTATTATAGGGTGAGAAAATAAAATTATAGTACTCAAAAATTGTTTAAATATATAAAATCATTAAAACCATCTTATAAAAAAAATTATTTTTATGTGAGAAAAATTAAAGAAAAATAAAATCATATAATGATCAAAAATTAGAATAAAAGATAATTGAAAAAATTAGTTGTAGGTTATTCAAATAGACTGTAATAAAAGGAGAAGAAAATATTTATCACTTAAAAATGAAGCTTAACAAAATGAGTTATTAAACGATTTAAGATAATAAAAACTTTCCAACAAAATATTTGTAGATTATCTAAGAATATTGAGATATTGAAAAACATTATATAAAATAGCGTTTCGATATTATTTTCCAATTTAAAAAAAAAACAAAATAAATAAAACCCCACTCCCCCCCCCCCTGCTTAAAATATTTTTTTCCATTCCTAGCATTGGTAATTATATAGAAAATTCATTGAAGATAAATAATTATGTATTAAAAACATGAATCCTATATTAAATACCGCCATTTCTTAATAGAATATGGGAACAAATCATAGATTGTATCAGACTTGAGGTAAAATATTTTAAATTAATAAAAATTTTCTCCCAGGAGATCCCAACCCCCCCCCCCTCCCAAAAAATGTACACATTCTATCATTATAAAGAAGAATTTGAAAGAAAAATTATCAAAATTAACTTTTTAAAATAACAACCATAATTCAGAATTTTTAGAATAAAAGCAATTTTATAAAAAAAACAAAAATTATTTTTATTAAAACCGAATAAAGCCAAAAGCCTACAATAAGTGGACCTAAAGATCTTCAATAAAATTTACCACTAGGACTTTTCCACCTTTACCAAAATCCTAGATATAGAAAAATATTTGCTCATATTAGTTTAAATTTCATCAAATTAAATTAACTTATTCCCTAATTCAAAATTTTAAAAATCGTGTTACAGCGGTAATTTTTTTCAGAATATATTTTATTCAAAATTGTTTAAGTATTAAAAAAAAAAGATACTCACGCGCTGGTTATAGCCCTGTAGCGCTCTTGTCCGGCCGTGTCCCATATCTGAGCCTTGATAGTCTTCCCGTCAACCTGTATACTCCTGGTGGCGAATTCGACGCCTATGGTCGATTTGCTTTCCAGGTTGAATTCGTTGCGGGTGAAACGGGATAGCAAATTGCTTTTACCGACTCCGGAGTCGCCAATCAAAACGACTGGAATTATTATTAAATATACAATAATATATAGCCGGTAATTAATTATTATATAATATATATATCTTCAAAATATTCAAAATTGAATAATCATGAAATTTATACGTATAAACAAATTTTTATGATTGATATACCGACCTAAATATTTAACAATCATATGGGATGTGGGAGGGGTGTGACAAAATCTGCTCTCTGGATCTCAGCTATGGCTCTCGTGATGCGAATTATCAAGACTGAGGAGGTGTTATCAATTTTTAACTTTAATAACTAGAGGATATTGTTAATTTCTGAGTTCGATGAGAAAAGGTCGGAATTAATTAGGGAAGTACCGATACTTATTATCAGATCGGGTCTATAATTCATGTTTTTAAAATATCGGTTAAAGGGCCAATATAAAATTTTCCGATCCGATAAAATGACGTCTTGATTTTTACAAAATTTATATCAAATTTGATATTATAATTGTATTCTGTAATAGATTAATGCAATATATAAATAAGTAATTTATCAATAAAAATATTTTATATACATTTAGATTCATGAATATAAATTACTAGTAGATAGCCCGTCAAAAATGACGGGGAATGAAAATTTTCTTCTTACTTTTATGCATGTTACCTGTTATTTGAAAATATCCAATTTTTATTCTTCTTACCCCCTCATCCCTTCAGGCCAGGTTTAATCCATTAAAACTAAGTGCTATGGTTTGAGTAAAAATAAATTTAAAGCATTTACTTGATAATACCAATATTATTTGTTAAATATTACTGATTACTTATACCTAATATTTAATATAAAAAAAATTCACAGGCAAAGTCCAAAGCCATATTAATTATGAAAAATTCTTCCAAGCCTAATGAAAGATCATAATAATTTTGGTAGTTAAGAACTGAAATAAAATATTTAAATAATCATAATGAATTTAAAAATACAATCAAAATTCAGATTTTCATGGGCCTTGGTTTTTTGATCAGGTCAAGCCCAGGTCTGCAAAAAAATTTGTTATGGGCCAATGTCTGACCTATAATTAATAATAAAAAAATTCTCAATATTTTTGAAAAATTTTTCCCAATCCCAGCCCAATATAATTTATAAAAATATTTTCCAAGCCCAACCCAACCTATAATAATTTTATAAAAAAATTTTCTCAAACCTGGCCAACCGATAGTAATTTAAATTTTTTTTCCAAACCTGGAGATAGGTAAATCTCTAAAAACCATATTTTTTAGTCTATTTTAACCCAGCTCACCCCAACCAAGACCAACCCATTAAGACTAAGAGTGAATACTATTTTTTTGAATAAAAATATATTTAAATTAGATTTTACATGAGAGCCATATAAATATTCTGTGTTAAATATTACACTTATGCCTAATATTAAAAAAATTCCCAAGCCAGGTCCTCACACTTGGTTTTCTCAAACTCGCAAAAGATTTTAATAATTTTGATAGTTGAGGACTGAAATAAAATATATAAAAAGTCACAATGCATTTAAAAATACAATCAGAATATGAAGTTGCATGGGCCTTGGTTGATCAGGCCTTGCATGTCTTCAAAAGAAATTTTCAAATTTCTAGCCCATATTTAAAAAATTTACAGAAATCTTAGACTATAATAATTATGAAAAATGTTTCTCAAGCTATGTCCAAGTCCATATTAATGGTGAAAAATATTTCCCAAGCCCAGGAAAACCTAAATAATTTATTTTGATCCAGAAAAATAGGTCTGATGTAAGGGGTTTATAAGAATTAAATCGGTCTAATTTCAAAATTATCATCAAATGAAGGGTAAATATCTGATTTACCTATGATTCTACTGATGAGCTCCTGGTATTTATATGAAATTCATGAATACATATTAAAGTACCATTCTGAAAATATGATCAACCAAATTTAAATTTTAAACAAACCAAATGATTTATTACTTATTTACAAAATACAAAATTAAATTTAAGAAATTGTTATTAAATTACAATAGAAAAAATAAAAAGATATGTCAAATTAACAAATAATAGAAGGTAAACTTCAAACATAGTCAAATTATATATAAGTAAAACAAAAAGGTTATACATTTAATCAAAAATGTTATAATAAGTTATGAATAACATACATTCTACAATTATGAAGTTATGAGTAAATATACAAAATTTTCCTATCTTATGAGGTTTTATTTAAAAATTTATATTTATTTTGGGGTTATTGTAAAATTTTCCATTATTTTTATAAAATATGTTAATGATATATTTAGTAATTTTAAGCACCTCTATTTTAAATTTTATCCAATGATTTCCATCACATTTTTAAATTTTGATATTTCTAATACATGCTCACAGTATACATTGCAACAATTTTACCTCTTTTACTTTTAAATTTTAATATTTATATAAAATTTATTAATAAAGTATATTTAATACCATACACACAAACTAAATAATTACCCTTGAACATCTATATAAATAATATTTATATAAAATTTATTAATAAAGTATATTTAATACCATACACACAAACTAAATAATTACCCTTCAACATCTATATAAATAATATTTTAAATTTAATTATATTCAAGTTGGTGCATGCGTGAAACTTTAAATATATATAATTAATATTTTAAATTTATTTATATTCAAGTTGGTGCATGCGGTAAAGCATATGCCTTTGAAACGGGAGGCTCTATTCAATTCTCGAAGAGAGCAAGAAATTAACACTACACTATATAGTCTCCTTAAATTTAAAATACATTAGGGAGATACGAAAACGATCGTGTTATGATTATGGAGATTATATATTAGATAAATGATCTTTATAATATATCTAAATCATTTATGTAGTTAAATTATTGATGTTTGTTATACATAAAGATGAGTATATGTATGTAGTAAAGTGATGCAAAATCGCTTCGTGCCGATTTTTAAAAACGGGCAATAAATATTTTAAGCCAGAAATATATTGCCTAAACCTCGAGAGCAAAATCTTCAGGCTTACGTAATATTTTTCTGGATATAGTGAGTTATACATTTTTAAAAATATACTCAAATGGAACGACTTTGCAACACTAGATGTATGCATTAAAAATTAAAACGATTAGTATGTTTACAAAATACAAAATCGGATGTTATATCGGGATCGGTAATCGCCTAATATCAATTAAATATCGGATCGGCTTCCAAAAAGTGGTGTTATTACACCTCTAGAAATTTTGTTGAAAACGAGAGATCAGAAATTTAGTAGAAAGCATTTAAATGCCAAACCAAATATAGACCCTCTCCCCTAGTGATGCAAAATGCTCCACTTGAGCCGATTTTTAAAAACGGCTAACTCACTATTTTAGCCACAAAATAATTTCCTAAGCCTCTTTGCGAATTGATATCCAAACCTAGTGTTGCAAACAGGTCGATTTTTAAAAATTGGCTCAAATTGTGCGATTTTGCATTACTAATAATAATAAAAAATTTTAAATTTTAGACCAAAAAATATTATATTCATATCACATACATAGTTTAAATAATTCTTACCAATAATAAAATATTAAATTAATTTTTTTATATAAAGTAAATAATGAATATTGAAAAAATTTTGTGGTAAATGGAAATATTTATTACCAATTTTATAAAAAGCATTCAAAAAAAAGAAATATTTTAATTTGTTATGCCAAGCTTATAAAAAATATATTAGTATCTAAATATATTTATAAAGATATAGAATTGAGTCATTCATTCAAGTTTTTTTAAAAAGTGAGAAAAAAAACAAAATACCTTTTTAGATGATAGCTAAATTGTTAATACGAAATTTCATTGACTTGTTTATATAGTATTAGTCTAGTCATTATTAATACCATCGCACGTTTATAGTTGGGTAATCACTACATTTTAGACCGTAAGCCAATTTTTAGGTGGCTAAAAAATTGCCTAACCCAAGTTTGGCGAATATATCACTTTGGCCTCAGGGTTTTTCTTAAAGAGAATACCTCAAATTTGAATGACACTATGGTATATTAAAAGGCCTTAGTTAACGAAATTTCTCCGGCAGACGCCTGTAACTCTATACACGCTATTTACATAACATAATCATATAAGCGATTGTGTTTTCCACTATGCTAACAAAAATTTAAGCATGGTTTAATATAAATTATAATTCTTTCCATTCATGTGGATTCAAAATTTATTGTTTATTATAATTATTGTTATGTTTTCAAGAGAAGGCCATGCAAACATATCGAATAAACTTTATTTTTAATCAATTAATTTATAATATTATATGATTTTTTTATAAAGTCTCGAAAAATGCTTGCGTAGTAAAAGTTCTAGTGCGCGGATATATCAGATTTTGATCCAAATAAACTCATATCGGTCAGACTCAGATATACATTTTTCGGATTTTTAAATTATTCGGGTCTCTCCAAATTTTTTTTATATCGGACCAGATCTTAGGTCTAGAACGCCGTGCTTGCCCTAGAAAAATTTATAAAGTGCTAACGATTATAATGTTACATTATTTCGATACTCGGGTGATTCTATCGCAAATCAACCAGGGGCCAATCCTTCAATTTTTTTTAAATTGTAACTAATAGCTAAATATTTAGCCTGCTAACATTTATATTTTTGGAGAAAAGGGGACGTCCACTTAGAACTCTAATATTTCCAAAAATATAAATTTTAGGATAAAATTTTGGCCATTCATTTTTTTTTGCTTACTAAATTTTTTAAAAATTGAATGGGATCGGCCGAAAATCTAATTTTTGATCCACGCATTTAAAATAAAATTTGGGGGCTAAAGTGATCAAGACAAGGTGTCCATCTTTAAAGGCTTCGCGGAATTATGATAAGTGAGTGAATTTATTAAAGATAAACATAGAGAAAAAAAGACAAGACTTATAACACCTAATTAAAATTTTATTTTTCAAAATTCCGCTAATTAGTCATAGTAATATTATTACTTTGTTTAAACAAAAAAAATAATTAATAAATTCCCTTTTGATTTCACGCGTAAAATTTGGTATAC